CTACGAACAAACATGCCATCACTAGTGAAGACTGAGATACGATGTACTGCCTCTTTCACTAACATACACTAGACCAGTAGCTCCAGTGTCTATTGCAATGCCAACTGGACTCTCAAGCTGACCAGGACCTGATTTCCTGCTACCAAAATGAGCGACAAATCCTCCATCTTGAGAAAACTTTTTGGACACGATGATTATCCTTGTTGGTAATGTATACAAATCCTTGAATGTCAAAAGCAATACCATGTGGGGACTGAAACTGTCCATTGCCTGATCCTTTACTTCCAAAGGCATGAGAGAAGGTCAGGTCTGGATTGAAGACTTGTACATGATCGTTTTTGTTATCCACAACATAGACCAGTCTTGATGTAGGAGAAATGGCTATGGAATCATGACAATTGAATTGCATCGATCTGGTGCCCTTTTTACCAACTGAAGCTAGGGACATTCCATCCATACTTACCTTTTGGATTTTATGATTATCAGACACAAGAAGAAATTTGTCTTTAGTAACGGCTATACCACAAGGTTTAGAAAATTTTGCATCACCATTCCCACTTCCTCCTCCAAAAGACTTTATCTTTTTTCCTTCTCTATCCATTATTGTAGCACAGTTGCCACCATTCTAATAACACAGCCATCATCACTTCCAATAACACTACAAGGATAGTTAACCTCTATTATACGTACTGGAGTGATGCTGTGATAATAAGGATTGAAAGAGATGAGTAGCGATGTGTCCTTAAGTTGTACACCATATACCTGAGCTTTTATTGTATAGGTACCACTGGTTTTCGGGTTACACTGTATCCTATAGTGATTTGTCAGTATTCTATAGCCTTTGCTTTTTCTCAAAACTTGGCTCTTTTGAAACTGCTCAGTCATAACTATTCTTGGAAATAGCTCAGACTTTATAAGGACATCAATATTCATTAGAAAATGTAATAAAAATTGAGGTGATTTCAAAGACATGTTTAGTTTATGAGAAAAAATCATAGGCTATAGCCTTTGCATTTTCAAAAATTAGCCTATTTAAAAAAGTGCTCATAACTAAAAAATTATTTGTCAAAAACAGCTCAAACTTCAGTTCTACATAGCACAAGAACAGCGATATGGATCAAGAAATGTAATAAAAATTGATGGTGATTTTGGAGCCATTCTTTGCAAAAAGTATGAGTATAACTTTTGCTTTTTCAAAATTGGCTTATTTCTTTCAAAAAGTGCTCATAACTAAAAATTACTTGTTAGAAACAGCTCAAACTTTTAACATAGCATTTAAAAAATCAGAAAATGTACATGTATGACATGTAAACATGTAGTACATACTGTATATGATGCATCATTATTCACATGTACATGTACATGTATCAATTAATGCACAATATTATGAAGACAAATTGACATGTCCATGCAGTATGCCGTATATGCGGTAATTTTCGTGGTGTGTTAATTTTTGTTATTTTCATGCTCACCTTAAATCCACGAAATTTAAACCACCTCTACTGCCATTCTATTGTATGTACAGAACACAAAATTATTTATTGGCCAGAACCCAAAATTTAGCTCACACAAATATTAACTTTTGAGCACATTTCATTCAAAACACGAAATTTTAAACACTCGGAAATTTGAACATATACGGTAGCTAATATGGAGGAGCACATAAAATAAAAGCTGAGATCCCTCCCTCTCTCTATTACACTTCAGCTAAAAGCAAGAAAAACAAAAAACATGCAGTACATGTACATGTATCATTAACTGAAAATGACTATAAATACACATGTACATGTACATGTATCAATTAATGGACAATGTTATGAAGACAAATTGAGGTAATACTGTCCATGCAGTATAGCTAATAGGAGGAGCACATGAAATAAAACTAAGATCCCTCCCCCTCTCTCTCTCCTCATTATCTCAAGTTTTCTCATTCAATATATTCTCTCATCAACATAGTATATGATACACATGTGCATGTACATACGCATCCATTTCCATTTAGTGTATGAATCTGTTTCAATTGCATAGTATCCTTTTCACAGACCAGTACAGTCCCTTCCTTATGTACCTCAACATCTTTGACTAGGAGAATTGAAGAATTTTGGATTTAGTAATTTTGGTTTGAGTCTAGTATATTTTCTACTGGGACCACGACTGGAACTGATTTTATGAATTTTGGATCAATGGGTCATTGGGTGTTCTTATGTTAAATAGTTTGGGTGGGGCTGGTATTTTGCAAGAATGGCATCTAAAAGTGAGGGCCACTATTCTCTTCTCTTTGTATCTCTTTCATTCATTCTTTGTCTCTCTTACTCTCTCACTTACTTTACTCCTCTGTATCCTGTCCTTATTCTAACTCATCACTATATTACTGTTACTCTGTTACTGGTACCTCTTGTTCTCTCTATAGACTATCAACCAGTGGAGAGAGATAGTCACTCCACAGTAAAGGTAGGCGACTACCTATATATGTGGGGTGGGTTTGGGTCTGAAGTACACTATGATGTGATGGAGGTGTACCACTTACCAACTGGTGCTTGGGACCAGAAACCTACTACTGGTACCCCACCACCAGGTACCAGGGCCTACTCATCTGTTGCAATAGGGAAGGACATATATTATTTCGGTGGACGTGGTGGTGGTGTCTATTGTAACAGTGTGCATTCCTTCAATGTGGGTTCATTTAACTGGAGGGAACTCTCTCCATCTAGCTCTCATCATGGTCCAATGAAAAAGGGCTACTGTGGAATGCTATCAGCTCATTTGGATGGTAAAGACTATCTTGTAATAATTGGAGGAAGTAGATCATCTTTTATAAATACTCCAAAGCAACCTGGTGCTCAATATTCAGCTGCTGGTAGATGTAATGAGATACATTATTACAGGATTTCATCAGGTCAGTAATTCTTATCATTGATACACAATAGTTGATCAGTATTTCAAACTGAATAATTTATATTAATGTACATAAAACAGATTGTTAATAATTAAGTATGTTTGTTAATGTGTCTTTGTGTGTCATGTGTTTGTGTGTGATGGTGACGTGTGTCTATATGTGACGTGTGTGTGTGTACTAGTACATACATTATGATGTGTCTGTGTATGATAGTGCATATAATGTATGTGAGAATTTATGAATGTATGACGTGTGTATGTGACATGTATCTATAATGTGCATGTTATGTGTGTGTGAGTATTATCATGTATCTGTGTGTGTGTGATGTTTGTACATGTACATGTATCTATACATAAGCTAATGTGACATGAGTGTGTGTGTTGGCTCATGTTATTTATTATTATTTTTTAATAATTTTCTGTATCACATACATTGCTTGTAAGTCACAAATTACCCACATACAATGCTCCATCAGTTTTGTATAATTATTCATTAACAATCATAACTGACAAATGTACCAGAATAGATTAGTAATCTTCAAATAAGGACACCCCCTGGACCTCTCCTTCATGTGTACAGGTGTGGTGTGTGTGATGGTGTGTGTGTATTCATCCATACATGAGTGTATCTGTGTGTGTGTGTGTATCATGTGATAGTGATGTGTGTCTATGCATGATGTGTATGTATAAATAATAATGTACACACTTATACACATACATAATGTATGATGAATGTGTATAATGTATGTGTGTGTATGTGGTAAGTAAGTGTACATGAATGTTTGTACATTATTATTAGATCAATGGATATCTCCTGTTGTTACTGGAGACAGACCACCTCCTATTGATGACTTCACTCTAACACCAGTTACTAATAACACTGCAGTAATGTTCGTAGGTGATACTGATAATGGAGCGAGTAATAAACTGTATATGATAAGTTTCACTAAGACATCAGTGGTGAGTTAATACTGTAGGATGGGTTTTGATTGTGAGATTCTTTTGATTGCAAATTATGGATTTCAAGGAGGAGGTTATTAATTATTTTAAGTTGAATGAATAATTTTATGACATAGATTTAAGTAATATTATTTTTCAGGATATATTAGAAGTATCTAATCCTGGAGGATCAGTACAATGGCCTAAGGGAAGATGGGGTCATTCCAGTGTACTGATTACCACTAGTTCAGGACCACACTTACTAGTGGTGGGTGGACATTCTACCTATGATGCATTGTTACTGGACATTAACAAAAGAAAATGGAAAGAACTGGTAAGTATTATATTATGATGCTTGATAATGAACCATAAAGTGATTAATTAAATTTGTAACTCATGAAGTTTGTAATGTACATGTACATATTATGATACTATCAGTGAAAACTACTAATGAATAATGCTGGTATTCAGTACATATGTGTGTCTGTTTTTAGTGTGAATGTGTGTTTGTGTCTTTTTGTGTTTTGTGTTTGTTTCTTTACCTAAATATGTGTGAATATACATGTGTCTGTTGTGTGTGTGTAAAGATGGATTCACAATTGATAGAGTGTCAATGCTGGAATTAAATTCTATTTTATATACATTGTGTACATTGTGTATGTACTTACGTGTACTTGTGTGTATGTGTGCATATGTTTTAATATGTGTGTACATGCAGACACTTAGTAAGTTCTTAATTGAGGACTCACATGATATAATAACACACTCAGTTGTGTATACTTGTCTATTAATATATTGTGTATTATTAATTTTATTATGTCATCTTTGTGTTACATAAAATACACTGTGCAGACTATAAAATTGTCAGTTAGTTATTGTGTTTATTAACCAGATATCAAATCAATTAATATGTCATACACAAATTAATTATTATCATTTTAATTTTATAGAATAATCTACCAGACAATGTCACTAAGAGATACTGGCATTCTCTCTCAGTGTGGAGTGTGACCCCAACTACTAACTGGATAATTGAGTTTGGAGGAGGGATAGGAAGCTGTACTGATACAGCAGTTATTGAGCTCAGTAAATACATGTAGAGAGTAGTAGATACAATGTGTATTGAGTAATGATAATTAGTAATGATAATATTACAATAAAGTAAGTAATTCTTATGATGAATATTTAATGAGAGCATTTGACGTATACCTATGATACTAATTATTACCAATTCATTCCTGCTGTGTACAATAGTGAAATATAATGACTGCAGATACAGAAACACTGATATTAATAGGAGCTAGAGTGAATGAAATATTATTATCAGTGTATTTATGTACAATAATATGTTCATGTGGTTAACTGTTTAAACTGACAGAGGTCACACATACAATGATTAAACATGAATCCATCAATAATAAGGTTACCATAGTAACTAACTGTAATTAATTTGTGTATTTCTTATTCTCCACTATTTTGTTACTGTATAGGATATACTAGTGATAATGATTGGTCTACTAGTGTAATACCTCTGGACCAGTATCAAGATCAACTAAGAAGAAGGATACTGAGTGATTGGGAGAATTTAGGATTAAGCAAAGAGGTTCAATTACTCAGAGGTCACCTACAAGAAAGAGAGAGAGAATTTTATCAGGAACAGCTTCAAAGAGAAATAAAAGAGAAGGAGCAGATACAGCAAGATCGAGACAAAGAGCAGCAACAGCTTCTTCAAGAAAAGGCAACACTTAGTCAGCAACTTGATGATGCTACCACTCTCCTTGAGCAAGCAGAAAAGGATAAATCTTGTGTTGAATTAGGTACTATTGTGTTGTACTGTTGTTTATGTGTCATTATAATACTAGTGGATTACACAATGATGAGTATGGAAATGGTATCCTGTACTCATTATAGGTCAAATTGTCCATGCATAATGAGATTTATGTACAATGAACTGTGACCTCTGCTTACCATTTATAGTATCATTAGCAATAATCACAGTACATGTATTAATGGGCTACTGTACATGCAGTGCAAATATGTTTAAGCAACAATTGTCAATTATTTTTTATCTTTATATTTTTATTGATAACAAAAGATTATGAAAAGCTTAAAGTTAAATTTGCTTATTTTAAAGAGAAGAAACAGATTATTACTGGTTAGTGTATCATCAGTACATAATATTAGATCAGAGATTATTCTTTTAATGTACTTGTGTAGAAGATTATGAAAAATTAAAACTTGAAGTAGCTGATATGGAGGAACAATATCTCAAGGAGAAACAAATCATTATTGGTTAGTTAACTATACACACAGCATGTATTAGAGAATAGGTTTATTGTGTAGATGAGAATCAAAATCTCAAAACTGACATTTCTGAGAAAGAAAAAGTTATAGCCAAACTGACATCGAATGAGAAACAGATTATTACTGGTTAGTGTATCATCATCAATCAATAATAATTATTAATATTCTGTTAATTTTGTAGACCTTAAAGAAAAGGAGTTGTACATAGCCAAACTAGTGAAGGAAAGACAAGAGAGGGTCCTCAAGCAACATATCAAAGAGACTAATTCCATTGAACTAAAATTTAATTACCTGATCCCTTCAATGGGTAAGAGTATTATTGACTGACTGAACGACTGTGTGTCTTATTACTACTGATAGATAATTTGGACTGTCTGAGTGATGTACAGGTAGCAGAGAAGAAGCTGTTTCTAGTTCAAGGAGAGAAACCTCAACTAATTAATTGGGAGAAATATGGTCTAAGGATTGGAGTACAAGAAGATACCTTATCACCCACCGATACAGTTGAGGTAGCAGTGGTCGCTCTTGTAGGAGGAGAGTTTGTGTTTCCAAAGAATACAGTACTAGTGAGTGCTGTTTATGCTGTTTCAGTATCCAAGCCTCTCCTCAAGCCATTGCGACTAGAAATTGAGCACTGCATTGATCTGAGGGAACGACCAGGTCTTACACAATTTTTGAAGTTTGTGATAGCTCCCGTGAGCACACCCAGTCTTCCTTACCAGTTTTCAGTAATCAAGGGAGGAGAGTTTAAACCTGATAGTTGGTATGGATCCATTCAACGTAAAAAGTTCTGTTTGGTAGCTATTGTTGGGGAGAAATTTCTACCCAAATCGTCAACTAATGGAGACGAGTCAGAAGAAGAGGAGGAGGAACAAACAGAAGAGGAAACTGAGGAGGAACTGGAAGATGGTGATAGTGATTCATCCAGTGATTCTGATAAAACTAAAGGTCCACCAGGAGGTAGCAGTGTAGGACAAGGTGAGTAATGAGTCAGTGAGTGTGTACTAGTATATAATGAACTGAATCTATTCCACTATATAGGAGAGTCTACTAGTAATGAGGGAGTAGAGGAAGAGGGGGAGACTGGAGGTCAGCCATTACATGAGGAAGGAAATGAAGATCAAGATAATGAAAGAGTAGAAGAGTCAAAGGATCATGAAGAACCACAGCATGAAGAAGCAGCTGCTCCAATACCTTGTACTGAGATTAGCTCAAATTTTAATTGTAAGGACATACATGTACATGTACATGTACATTAACACAGTGTGCAGTGAATGGTAACTGATCTCACTTGTATAGTTGAGTCTAATGCTAGTGAACAAGTAAATGCAAAAGAAGAGAAGAGACTTGAAGGTGATACCAGTATTGATCCAGTTGATGGTGGAGAGGATTTAAGAGAAGAGGAGGAAGCTGAGCCTCAGCCTCAAGAACAACCTACTGGTAACGAATAACATAATTTTAAAGGGACTGCATACATAATTAATAATTCTCTTTATAAATTTAGTTGGGACACAACCCACTGGTGTAGAAGAAGCTGCAACTTATGCTGGACTGGTTTACTATGAGGAGAAAAGAGCTGAAGACTTAGTGACTTTTACTGCAGCTAAGAAATTAAGTGCTCTCCTTGAGGTACGTGCATATGTACATACATTAATGATTCAGTGATTATTACATTCACTGTTTTAAATAGTTCATTGAGAAGAAGCACATACAAGCTGAGATTGGTCAATATGTTTATTTTTCTTTTATTCGTTCCTATTCATATATTGAATTAAAGTTTGATGCTCCACAAAAGAAGCCTTACACTGGATGGACTATTGAGCCTCAGCTTCATCCTTGTAGAGTAAGTACTGCAATATAATGTATAAGTGATGGTTGGTATGTGTACATTAATAGTTGCGTCGTTGTGATGTTGATAATTTTGGTGAAGCTAATTATCCTCTTCCTCCATGTTGTCTGGTATCAGTATATGGATCACCTGGTGCTGTACCATCACTACATTACTCTGTACCACTGGATGGAGTGACTGATCCTGTTACATTATTCATTCATCGATCACTGAGAACTGCTCCTCTTCTT